AGATGAGAGGATGAGTAAATTGGTCCAATGTTGAGAAAGTAATTCATTATTAGGATGTAAGCTATTTCCATCACACTGTTGTCGGTGTTTCATCAGTAGGCACCTTGGCTGATACTTTCCACGGGCACTACAGCAGTGCTTTGATGTGAGTCAATTTAATTTCTAACATAATTAATCTACTCAACCATCGCATTAACATCCCGGTTTAACTTGACGTATTCTCCAACCAAAAAATCGCACCCATGTAGGTATCATTTGCAAGCTGACTTGTGCTACAATAAGTTGCATAATTTTCTGCTCTCACTTATTCGGTCTTATTCGTTGAATTGTATTTATAAGACTGCGTAGCTTGACAACAACATTCTTGAAATAGACGAAAGCAGATAAAGCAAAAAGAGGAATAGTCTTGACGAGGGTTCAAGGAGAGTTCATCGAGATAACACTATCGATCTTACAACTTTCCTTATTATCAACAGTTTTCTCTCTCATTGAGTTTATTAAATTCTTGGCTTTCTAATCACATCATCCAAGAAATTTTGAGAAACTTACTTGATAACGCCAACGCTCACCCATAAAATCTACATCTGCTCTAGGTTTGATGCTTCTGCAGTCCCCAATCTGATGTCGCACTTATGAAGAAGCACAGCTTAGGCTCATTTTGGTATTGTAATCTACATGCACTCAAGCTTATCAAATATTCACTCACATAGATAAATGGAGTAACGGTAATGCAATTAAGCAACGATGCGAAGAGAACTCTCAATGAAATGCTCAGTTGGCCAAAGGAGAGTATGCGAGAAGTACTCAATGGCGTATCTTCAATTTGCTACCTCCTCCTCTCTTAGCAGACTTCCATCTATGTGCTTGAATTCGTCTTGTGAGATCAGAAGCCTTCTTGGTGAATTGCTTCGAAAGGTTACCATAGGCTCCGAATCCTTCCCATTCATTGTGCTTCGGCTCCTTCACCTCAAATGCCTCGTGCAAGAAACTAGATTCCCGTGTCTCGTGTCCACTAATACACACTTGTCCCAGTAAGTATGCCTCACTATTTTATGCACTGGAATTTTGTCACTTCGTTAAATATAACCAAAAATTTAATTGAACTTTAAATTCTTCAAAAAAATACATTCTTAAAATTAAATATGTCCAAAGTATAATTAAAATGGGTGTTATTGTTTAAACATTTGTCTTTAAATCAAATCCCGACCCCAAACCATTATAATAATCGATCTAGAGTTGACAAAGACAAGGTATCACACATGACAACATTCACTGAAGAGATACCTTTATTCGTTAAGAAAGTATCGACACAAAGACAGTAAATATATTTGTAAATGTGGAAAAGTGAGCCATGTTTGTCAACTCATCTTCACTTCACTAATTGTTTGATTTTTCATCAAAAGTGCGTTGCGATGGTAGTTTGCCACGATTTAGACGACAAAGTTGATGGACAAGGGAGTTGGCTAGCAGGACACCCATAATGACACCAACTATCTTAATTGAAGATAAAGCAAACAACACAACGCCGGCAATTTTGTCATGAGTGAATACTGATAGCGCAATATTCAATTCACAGCCGATGAAAGTCATGAGGACACCTGAATACTGGAAAATTTAAGTGATATATATGTTTTCCTACAATGTAGTAAATGATTTCGTTGTTCATGTAGAAAGTGAGGAAACCACCAAGAGAGAAGAGAATAAACAGTACTCATATGCCTAACACAATTCCGGAGACACTTTTTTGCAGATCATTCTCACTCAATAGAAAGGAACCAAGAATAACCCAAAGAAATCCAGTGATCTAGATAAATGTGAAAAAGTGGGCACAAATTCTCACCAGAACATAGATATTATTGATTAAGAAAGTAATTTTCATACATTTGTTTGGTTCTAATTTTGGAAAAGCAGGCATGGTCGTCAGGTTAATGAGATTAGCTGCTGAACCGAGAAAAGTTGATTTATATACTATTCTGGTTTCATCACACACTTTGTGACCGCATGCATTCACACCAATCAGATTAAGAGCAATATCAAGTTGCATATTTTGCTAACCTAATAAGTCAGGTAGATAGGCAAATAATGATAGGCATGTTCAGCGCGCTTTTCGATCTAGGGAAAATATCTGAAATTTGGATCAAAGATCCACATTAGAGTTCTCCATCATCTAAGACGCGCATTCTCCAGTTGATGAGTTCATTAGCACCCGTGTGCTACATTATGTCGATACGATATGAATTTGATTGTTGGTTAATATGCTTAAACGAGAAGAAATTTATAAGCCAATTTGACATAGCGAGAATGAAACTAAAATTTGTAACAAAGAACCCGATTTTTCAACTTAATATACGGCATTTGATGAACATAACCTTCAAAAGCATCCTCGACATTCGGATGAGAGATGGGAGTTGTCGGTTCTAGCCAAATTTTGTCAAATCAGTTTTCTCATTACTGTCTGGTCACACCCTAGATTCATGAACTGAAGAATTAGATGGAAATGTCATTTCAATATGAAAAACTCCTCCTGAGTATGAGCTTCCTTCAGCACCAAGTAGGTTTTCCCTCCATTCTCGGACTCAGTTGACTAATCTACGATTGTCAATAGAGTCTACCTCACGATTACTTCCATTCCCTACACCAATCGCAAAGTGGCCCTATTGATTTCCATGAAAAGCACTTAGATCCTGATAATGCGTTCCATTAGATATAGAGGAGAAGTTGCCTACCTTCTTGATTCTCTTCAGAGACAGGGAGAATGTGGTACATGAAAGCATGTTTGCAGAGCATTGCTCAACTGATATTAACCCCCTTTCCACAAATAAGTCATTCCAATTTCTTGCAGTTACAGTTTTTAGGCAACTTTAATATCGACTCTTTGCAGATATGTATGATTCCAAGACCAACAAATAGTTGTTGCTAGCTAAATAATAGGAGTCATGTGTTTCACGCTTTTTTGCTTTATGATATTTGTCATTTGCCCTCTAGTTGACATCAATCACTTAAGATCGTGCGAGGAGCAGAAGAGAAATTCACAGATGTAAAAGAGACAGACACAAAGGTAGAGAAAAAATAGATTGCTGTGAGTACTAGGGAAGTGATGGAATATGCAATATTGTAAGTTCATGATATATTGAAATTGGCAATCGACTTCCGTTTTATATATGAGTATACATTGCCAAGAGTTTACTTAGTAGAGGTGGGTCTATCTCACACCCCAAGTTCATTCATTGATCTGTGGAAAGCAACTGAAATTCGGAGCTAAGATTTACATTGGAGTACTCCATCATCTAAATCCCACATTCGTCAGTTGATGAGATCATTAGCACCTGTGTGATTCCTATGAAGTAAATTTGATTATATGTATATAAACTTAATCTAATTGTAATGGACGATCTAGGCATAGAGAATACTGAGCATAATTCACGGCTTATCATTTTACCGATTCCCAGTTAACCCTTAAATCTCTGCACCATTAATCAACAAGTATGTCTTCTCTAAGAATGCACACAAAAAAATACACATTGCATAATTCTCTGTTCATTCATGCTAGTGTTGTGCTCTCCACGCAATTTATAACCATGAACGTGAACCAACTATCCCACAATTAATTTCATTAAAAATTGAACGTACTTTTCAATACTGAACAGTTGATTGCTTCAAAAATAAATAGAGCATCAAGAGAGACCTCTTAAACAAACTAACGATCAATGAACTACATTTAGTGGCCTGGAGAAATTTATTCATTCGCATTTATACTTTGGGAAAAATATTGCACTTTTCAGCTATAACTACTTGATGTACAATTTTACTTTTTACTATTTTAAATCATGTTTAATTTAAACGCACTTTTTGCAATTAAGTTGATTCCAATAGCCTGTTTAAAGCTGTTATATTAAGCCCATAACTCTCCTTGGTATTGTAAGTTTGCAATTTGGCTCAAGTGATCGGCATACAAACGACGTTTGCTGGCAGTATTTAGATAGTGAAAACTAAGGAACCAGTACGTACTACAAACTGCTGGGCTTGAAATCATACAAATCTGTCTAAAAACTTCAACTTCAAATTGGTTATACAAGTGTTCAAGAATTGGATTGACTTATTCGTGGAAAGGGAGAAATTATCAGCTGAGCAATTCTTTGTAAACATACTTTCATGCACCACATTCTCTCAAGAAGGTAGGCAACTTCTCCTCTATATCTAATGGAACGCATGATCAGGATCTAAGTGCTTTTCATGGAAATCAATAGGGCCACTTTGCGATTGGTGTAGGGAATGGAAGTAATCGTGAGATAGACTCTATTGACAATCGTAGATTAGTCAACTGAGTCCGAGAATGGAGGGAAAACCTACTTGGTGCTGAAGGAAGCTCATACTCAGGAGGAGTTTTTCATATTGAAATGACATTTCCATCTAATTCTTCAGTTCATGAATCTAGGGTGTGACCAGACAGTAATGAGAAAACTGATTTGACAAAGTTTGGCAAGAAACGACAACTCCTATCTTACTTCCGAATGTCGACGCAAATGGATTAATTCAGTAGCATGCTTTTGGAGTTCGCGTTTATCTAATGCAGTGTGACAAATTGAGAAATCGGTTTCTTTACTATACATTTCAGTTTGATTTTCCATACATCAATGAGGTTTATCGATTTCTAATCGATTAAGCTTAGTAATCCAAAATCAAATTCATATCAGAGGGACGTAATGTAGCGCGCAGGTGCTAATCATCGCCTTTACTGGTCAATATGTAACTCAGATGATGGAGCGATCTAATGAGGATTTTTGAACCAAATTTCAGTTACTTTCCATAGGTCAATGTATGAACATCGAGAAACACGCCGAACATGCCTCTAATTATTATTTTAGCAATTTGAATAATTTGATATTGCTCTTCATTTGATTGGTGTGAAAGTATGTGGTCGCAAAGCATGTGATGAAACTAGAATATTATATAAATCAACTCTTCTCAGTTCATCAACTAACCTCATTAATCTAGCAATCATGGAGGTAGAACCACCAGCAAAATTAAACAAATGCAAGAAAATTACTTTCTTAATCAATAATACCTATGTTCTGGTGAGCATTTGCGTCCAATTTTTTCACATTTGTCTAGATCACCGGATTTCTTTGGCTTGTGTATGTAACCTACTTAGTAATGTCTGAAAATCTGGACGAGTTTCACTTAGTAGCATCAGTCCCCATTGGATTTATCAGCATTCTTGTGAGCTTTTGCGGTATTTTCATTTATCTCACAAATAAAGCGATCCCCTACTATATGGTAATAGTACAATTTGCAAATACTTATTTTCATTCAGTACTCAACGTTCCTCATTCCCCTCATCGTTTGGGAAATATTATCCGCGATAACTCTCGCTGCTGATCACAAAACGTCCGGCGCTGTGCTCCTTGCTCTAGCTCCAATCAAGATAGTTGGTGTCATCTTCGGATTCCAGTTTGCCAAAGCCATTGTTCATCAATTTTGTCTTCTTAATCGAGGCCAACTGCCATCGCAACGCACTTTTGATGAAAAATCAAACAATTAGTGAAGTGAAGATGAGTTGACAAACACGACTCACTTTTCCACATTTACAAATATGTTTATTGTCTTTGTGTCGATACTTTCTTAACGAATAAAGGTATCTCTTCAGTGAATGTTGTCATGTGTGATACCTTGTCTTTGTCAACTCTAGCTCGATTGTGGTATTAGTTTGTGGTCGGGATTTGTTTTGAAGTCCATGATGGATGAGACCACTTATCCGCTGATCCCCTAGACATACTTTGCGACAAAAGGGTTGAAACAGCTACATGCATTTTCTAATTATAGTTTGTTCCTAACTACTGTTCAAGCATGATTTATTTTAAATAATTTAAATTAAAAATAAATATTAAGTAGAAGTGTTTGATACCGAGTATGTGTCCCTTCGCTTCACGCTATTAAGTCCCCTCAAATTATTCAATTCTATTCTTCGCTACTTACTTCATGGATTCAAAAATTGTGCTATTGGCAAAGCATTCCGATGCTACTTCTGAGACATGTTGAGGACGATTATGAACTTCAGTGACAATTCAATTTATGAGCGCACTTAATTAATAATCCAACATTGATCTTTCGATCAATTCCGTGTTAAATCGGGGCTTTCGTCAGCATAATTGGCGATGGTTTCTACTCCCTCGGTTTTGTCGAGATTGTGGAGATGAAATCGGGGGGGCAGGTTGAAGGAAGAGGAAAAAGTTTAAAGATCCGTTTATTTTTGGCAAAGCCTTTTTTGTTTAGCGTTCCTCACATAATTGATGATCCTGACGAGAGCTGCTCATTCTAACATAAATCCCCTGAAGTGCACGGGAAGTCTGCTAATTATTCTTCACACTCACGCCACGGTTGAAGAACGTCTTAAATCTTTTACAAAATCCAAAATGCTTTGTTGTCTCCAACACTGGAAATTTGTTTACTCCAATAATTGGGTTTTTTTTCCTCAATTGTGAGGCATTAACGTAATATCACAATCTGAGTAAAGAAAATAATGAGGCATACTTAGTGAGATATTTGTGCTAATTAGTTTGCAAATGTATCAGGGGACACACGCCACACATGGGTATTACCAATAATATTTACACTTGAATTTGGCAGTGTTTCTGAGCATTTTAAGAAGTCTTATAACATATTTCCTCTTGATCTTGAGACTTTTGTCAGGAATTACACTTTTAAATCACTCAAGGGGTTTTATTTCTATTTTCTTTCAATGTCATCTTGATATAAAAGAGAATCCTGATAAAAAGTGAGTGGAGAAGCATTTAAACCCTTGAATTCCAGTTCAACATGAATCTCGGAACACCATTTGGTTGATCCGTGTAATTGTAAATACCTGCTATTATCGAATTGATCATAAGGATTCGGACAAGCAACAAGTAGTTTCTCACACAGGAAAATCAATGGGGTGTTAGTGGGGAAGTCAAGTCAGACATCTCATAACCCCGAGATCATGTGAGTTGCGTCCAACTGTTTGCATCTGTTACTTTGAGCCACCAACAACATCATCTAATTCTGGCCAATGAAGTGAAAGCTTAAGGTGAGTTTTGACATGATTGCCCCTAACTAAAGCGTGCTCTGTGACTGCTATGATTCTTTCGACAATAATGATAATGAGTCCATTCACTGTAACTCTTATTGAAATCTTTTACCAATTGACTTAATTGGATTATAAAATTTGAGCGTCTAACCTTATACCCACCTTCACTTCTCATATAATTGTCAATGTCACTATGGTCAGTACAAGTTTAGGGTACACATTGTGCTTTCCTGAGTTTGCTATTTGACCCGGTTATGGCATGTTAGTTCCAGGCAAACGTTGATGCAGGTGTCTATTCTGAACTCTTCTCTTTCTACGCAGCAGTGGGACACAATAGATCCGCTTTCGAAGAGGAAATAGAGGCCATTAGGAAAGCACTATGCCAATTATGTTGCCTAGATACGATACTCACCAAAGCGGTGATACATTCAGACTCACAGTCAGCAACAAACTCAATTGGAAACAGAGAGTCACCCAA